GTTGTGTGTGTTGTGTGTGGTGTGTGTGTGGTGTTGTGGGGTGTGTGTGGTGTGGTGTGTGTTGGTGTGTGGTTTGTTGGTTGGTGTGTTGTGTTGTGTGTGTTTTGTGTGTGTGGGTGTGTGTCGGTGTGTGTGTGGTGTGTGTGTGTGTGTGTGTGTGTGTGTGTGTGCGTGTGTGCGTGCGTGCGTGCGTGCGTGCGTGGGCGTGGGCGTGGGCGTGGGCGTGGGCGTGGGCGTGCGCGTGCGCGTGGGCGTGGGCGTGGGCGTGGGCGTGGGCGTGGGCGTGGGCGTGGGCGTGGGCGTGGGCGTGGGCGTGGGCGTGGGCGTGGGCGTGGGCGTGGGCGTGGGCGTGTGTGTGTGTGTGTGTGTGTGTGTGTGTGTGTGGGTGCGTGGATGCGTACGTGTGTGTGTGTGTGTGCGCGTGCGTGCGTGCGTGCGTGCGGGTGCGTGCGTTGGTTGTGTTCGGGGCGCGCAAGCCCTGGGCCGCAAAGGCGCCTCCATCATTTCCTTCTTCAGCTCCTTTCCTTGCTTCTTCATGTACTTCTTCAAGTTCTTCTTCGCCTTCTTGGCCATCTTGCGAGCTATCTGCTTCATGGCCGCCTAGTAAGCGCCGAAGGGGGCAGAGGAGCTCGTGGAATGCGTGGGCTCAACCCTGCAACTGTGCCTTGACTTTTTATAACGGAAACCTTACAGCTAGCAGCTAGCATCGTGCAATCGTAGGGAGAGGCGACCAGCACAGGTCAGGCCCAACACCCGCCTTCAAAGCCTTCTTGATCGCCGCCTTTGAGCCTGTTCTGATGGCACGAGCGATCCCTTGGGCTGGCTTGCCCACGTATGGGATGAGGCCGACCTTGCGAAGGGACATCCGAAGGGAAATGCGAAGGGAAATTTGAAGGAAAGGCTACACTTCAAATTCAAAGTCACCTGCGTCAAACGTTTTGAATCGGATGTCAATATCGCTCTGACACCTCTGAGACCTTCATACAAGGGGCCACGGCAGAGGCGAAGGCCATGGTGATTTCCAGAGCCTTCTGACGGCAAACGTCAACGTCCGTCGCGCAGTAGAGCCAGCCATCGCACTCCTGGCCAAGGCTCCAGGCTCAAGTGAGTGTTCAAGGCAATATGCTACGGATGGCTACGGCTACGGCTACAAGGACTTGGCCTGTCCTTGGGATGGAAGGGCAGGTCCCGGTCGCCGCCGCAGCGTTCCGCGCACCAGCCCAAGTTGCCATCCAGGTAGCCATCAGGGCAGCCCTTGTAGCAGAAGGCCCCCACGCCGTGGCGAAAGTCCCAGCCATGCTGGTCGATGCACCTCTTGTAGCAGCCCAAGGGACCAAGGTCGTCCCAGCCACCACAATGAATGTGCCAATACCAGCCTTTCCAGTCCCAGTGATGAGGCTTCCAATCGCGTGCCCTTCCCCACTGGTGATGGGATTTCTGGAAACGCTTGCAGTGGGTCTTTTCCAGCTTGCTCAGCTCCTTGGCCGCCCACTTCTTCTGCTTCTTGTTCTTCTTGCGCGCCAAGTCCAATGTCGCAGAATCATCGAGGTCCTGTGTCTCGCTCGAGCCTTGCTGAATCAGGGCATGAGATGAGCCAGGTTCAGGCTCCTCACGCGCGGGTCCGTGGGCCATTGCAGCCTCAAGCCCCTCCGCCTCGTGGGTGGGCTCTTGAGTTTCAAGCTCAAGCTCACGCTCCTCCGATTTTTGGTCGTCCACATGCTCCTGGGACGCATTGCCTCTCATCCTCCGCGGGCCCTGCTGAAGCAGCTCAATCAGCTCCGGCGTGGGCCCTGACACCAGGTAGCTCTGGTACTCCTCCAGGGACAGCTGACCGGAGCCATCCACGTCCTGATCGACGATCAGCTTCTGAATTACCTCCTCCAGGTCCACTTTGTGAACGCCAAGCCAAGCCTCGTGCCCAAAGGAAGCCACGAAGAGCTCCTTCCTCAGAGCGATTTCACCCCCCAGCAAAACAAGAAGCCGTGAAACAGAGAGACGCGACATGCAAGCATTTCCGACGCTGAAATATATTTGACTTGATGCTACTACAAAAACGTTGAGAGGTTTCTCCGGCCGAACTTCAAGCTCAGCTCGCCGGAGCCGTCTTGGTCAATCTTCGCAAACATGTCACTCATTACGGTCTCCTGCGCCGGCGTCACGTTCGTTTCAGGTCCCAAGGAGCCTTCGGCCTTGCTCCTCTGGAGGAGGCTGGGGCAAGAGGCTGGGCCGTCGGCAACAACCCCGGCCACCAGCGTCGCGAGCGTCGCGAGACACCCCGCTAACTGCATCATGGCCATGGGCAGGCGATAAAACAAGGGTAAAGGCAAGAAATATCGAGAAATGTCGGTTTCTGGCGCTTGGAGCCGAGAAGCCTGGCAACAAAAAGATGCGCAAAAGCATCTGCCCTGCAAGCCGGCTCTAAAAAAAGTCGAACCCGTTTGACACCGTCTACATCTGTACGACGAAAACCTGCCTTACTCCTGCAGCCCAGGACTGACTCAGAGACCAGAAGCCTCAACACAGCTTTCAAGTAGCCTGAACGTGCATGGGGAATTTTCTCTCTCATAGGATGCTCGGATCAACGGGCCAACTTCCAAGAGTAGACCAGCAAGGGGTCGGTCCTGGTCGGTCCGCAATGGCTACTAGGAATGGTGGCGCCTGCACAAGCAAGGTGGCGCACCACAATTTCTGGGTGACCTGACATGGGTACCCGATTCGTCCCCAAGAAGATCAGGCTAAAAGGTGGCGCCTGCACAAGAAAGGGTGGCGCACCACCTCTAGGTTGACCTTATGGGTTGTACACCATTAGGATCAGCGGGCCCACTTCCGGGTGTAGGCCAGCAAGGGGTCGGTCCTGAGGGAGTGACAATGGCTCCAGGTGGCGCACCACCTTTGGGTAACTCCATGGGTACCCGATTCGCCCCAATAGCTGAAGTGGCTGCAGCTATGGTGTGACTCGCACTGCCTCCTGCATTCGTCGAGGCTTCCTTTCCAATTTGAGAAGAGAGCGTGGTTCACGTTGCACACGCCCTCTCCCACATACTCGAATCTCCGCGACCCGGCTGCCACTCCGTCCTCTTCCACGACCATGACATTGCCACCGTGATGGATCACCGAATACTCCGAGGCCTCGAATTTGTGGCATCC